GATGATATATTTCTTGGAAGTGATCTTTGATTTTGATCGGGTTTAGTGTTATTGATGGGTTCTTTGAATTTTATCTTTAACTGTTTCTTTTCTGCATCAATATTGTTAGACTGAAAAGGTTTTCATCGTTTTTGATTCCATTTTGTTTTGTGATCGGTTAGGTGTTCTTCATCTCTTTCAAATGTGTACAAATATTTTGTTGTTATCTTGTTTGGTTTTCTTTTTGTTTGTGATCTTCTATATCTGTGTATGCTTGTGAATAATCTTATGCTTTTGATTGTGATCTTCTTTGAAATATGATGAAATTGTTTTTTGTTGCGGTTTTGTATGAATGGTGTGTGTGATCTTTGTTGTTATTGTTTGGTGTGTGTGATCTTCTTTGACTTTGTATGGTTTTTTTCTTATGCAGGTAAAGGTGGGTTTTGCTGCTTCCTCGTGAAAATGAGATTGCTCCAGCGAAAGGTAACTAAAGTCCAAGGCACATCGATATTCAGGTTTGTCTTCAACAAGTTTTGAAAACTAATTGATGTTTAGTAGTAGTTAATGTTTGTTGGTGGATGTAAATGGGTTTTCTGTTATGTAGTTGTTGTTGTTTGGTTAGTTAGGGTATATAGTTTAGTCAAAATGAGATGGTCTTTTTGTGATGAATGCATAGAGTTGTTGGTTAGTAGTCATGTCGATGTGGTTAGATGATAAATGTAAAAGATTTTTGTCATAAAACTTAAAACTAGCCATAAAAGTTCAACTTAAAACTAGCCATAAATCTTTAATGTAAAACTTGCCATAAAACTTAAAACTAGCCATAAATGTAAAACTTGCCAAAAAAACTAGCCATAAATGTTTAACTTAAAACTAGCCATAAATCTTTAACTTAAAACTTGCCATAAAACTTAAAACTTGCCATAAATCTTCTCTTTATTAACCGTAAACCTACATGTTCTTCTTCTACCTTTGCTCTTCTGCTTCTAAACTTCATCTTCTTCATCTTACTTAACCGTAAACTTCATCTTCTATCCCTTCTCTTCCTCACCACTTCTTTTAACAAACTTCATCTTTAAACCTCATCTTTAAACTACATCTTCTAACCCTTCTCAACTATGGATCAATATACCCACAACTCTAACTTTGTTGACTTGCTTAATAGTCAACAAGAGAGTAACCAAATCCCACTCTTCAGCACACAATGCACGGAAGCTTCCAGCTACAATGAAGAAACGCCTGCAGAGAGAAAAGCAAGAACAACATGGACCCCGAGTGATGATGTGTTGCTCATCAGCTCATGGTTAAACATTTCCAAGGATTCAGTTGTAGGGAATCAACAGAAGTCAGGGCCTTTTTGGAGGCGCATTGCAGACTACTTTGCTGCAAGTCCTGGTTTTGAAACACGAGTACAGAGGGAGCCGACCCACTGCAAGGCACGATGGCAGAAGATTAATGATCTAGTGTGTAAGTTGGCTTACTATCTAACAGATGGTATTTATCCTAAGTGGGCTACGTTTATTCAATCTATTACACTTCCCCAAGGTGCCAAAGCAAAATTGTTTGCTGAACGTCAAGAATCTGCCCAAAAAGATGTCGAGCGTGCTTTCGGAGTTTTGCAAGCTCGTTTTGCTATTGTTAAAAACCCGGCTCTTTCTTGGGATAAAGAAAAAATAGGCAAAATTATGAGAGCTTGTATTATACTCCATAATATGATAGTAGAAGACGAACGAGACGGATACAGTCTACATGATGTTTCAGATTTCATACCGGGAGAAGGAATGTCTCATGTCGATCAATCGTACTCTACAAACATGCCTACAAATATCCTGAATATGTTCGACACTCGAAAGAAAATCCGGGATCCAACGCAACATCACCACTTGAAAAAGGATCTAGTGGAGCATCTATGGCAAAAATTTGGAAGTTATTCTGATAATAACTGAATTTAATTTTTAAAAAATTTGTATGTTTAATGTTTTATTAATTATGTTTAATGTTTTTTTTTTATTTAAGTAACCCATGTAGGATTCTTGCAATAAACTAGTTTTTTACTAAAATGCTTATCTAAGGTACTTATTTTAAAGAAAGTAATAAAATAATCATTAAGTACCCCATTAGGAGTGCTTGCAATAAACATGGTCTAACTCACTCCATTTGCAAGTGTGGCAAAACAGTTCTATACTTACTGACCGGCATATTCATTGAATCTAGACATAAGAAATATCCAGCAAAAAGAAAAAAATGAATGGACAGCACTTTAAACATGGTGTAAAAACATTAATCAACTATTGTTCAGTAGACAACCACTATCAAATTGTTATAGAATTTTGAATAATTTAAATTATGAAATTATGTGTCTTTTTTTAAAAAAAAAAACAAAATTTTGATCTTCCATTTTTTTTAGTTTTTTTTTAAAAAAGACTTTTTTGCTCGTTTTATAGAGATGATTTTTCTAGTTTTTAATTTTTTTTTAATGTATTACTGATAATGAATTCCAAACTTGAAAAAATAGTGATTGATAATAATGATTTACTAATGTTCAAATAATAATAATAATAATTGAATTACTAGTGGTTTTAAATTACGAATATAGTTGTTTAGTGTATGAAATGATGTTGTTATAATTAAACATTATTTTTAATTTGTGTAAAAGCTCTATATATAAAATTCATTATTAAAAACGAAGAGAGTTTTGAAATAGACATTCATTGAACCTAGTCAGAAAAAGGGCCTAACAGTAACAGGTAACTTTGTTTAGGTGAAACTTGAAAGGTAAACGTAAAACATAGGTGCATTAAATCTGTTGTTCTTGAAAACGTCATGGAATATATATACATACAGGGCCGGCTCAAAACTTTTATGGACCCTATACAATAGTCTAATATTCTAAATATAATATGCATAATATTGCAAAAATACCTTAATTTTTTCAAAAAGAGCCTTGAACTCTTTACTAAAATTTGCAAAAAAATATTTACATCTAGTGCAAATGCACCTTTGGCACATGCTAAGAGCCGGCATTGTATACATATCATCTACTAGAAAATGATTATACGAGTATGCTTGCTCCTAGTCCTACGCCCTAAACCTAAGCATTGATTGACCAAAAAAAATTGAAAAAGTCATAGAAAGCTTGGATTTGAAATTTATTAAAAAAATCTGTATTGTCTCTATGATTGACTGTATGTTAATCATCGACTAGTTAAACGTATAATATAGATTTGGAGTAACTACATTGTACGTAGGAGACTAGGAGTAAGATAAACGTTTTATTATACCAGTAGACATCAAAAATACATTCGTTTTCTTTTGTTTGATTTTTCGTGTTTTCTTTTCAAGTAATGGCCCAATGGGTCACAACTTCTATTTTGGGCTTCTTCGCCTAAAGAGTCCGGATATAATATAGTTTAGGTATTTTATTGGCTGTGTAAAAGAAAACGTATGCTTGTTTTTTTTTGCCTAACATTTGGGAGAAAACGTATGCTACTAGCATAAGTCAAGTTTCTGTTTTCAATGTTCACAAAAATATCGTCGTTAGATCTGTAAGACTGTAACTTTATAGAATTGGCCACAGTTTCATTTTCATAAAGTGGCCCAGTTACGACATATCCGTGGCTAATGTAGTAGCTAGTTCAAAATAGTTTAAAGTCATGCGAAGGAGAATTCTACATCTTAAAAATGTCAGTTAGAAGATATTCGAGAGTTGAAGTAAATATATTCGAGTACTCAATTATATAGTTGTAGAGAAGAGCTAGTATAGGGTTTTATATGTTTAAGATAGATCTCCAACAAACTACTTAAGAAGAATGATCGAATCTATGTGAAAGCTTTTAGACTTTTTTTTCATTGTAAGAAAATGTGGGGACATTTTGGATCAAGATGTTATGAAACACATCAATTACTTCGTTCTTCGAGTTTTCAAGAAGACAATTTCTCGCTCTAGGTTTCCGAAAATAATAGATGTTTCGTTTGGTTTTTTGAGAAACTAGGTAACGCTTTGCTCAGACCTTGTGCATTGCTTACACTAGGATAATTAATCTCTATATTATGAAAAAAGTCATCCCAAAATAACTGTTATTAAAAAAAATAATGTATTTTTACCCAAACCAAAGTCATAAGTCATAAATAAAAGTTAGAAACTTCGACTATAAATAGTTAAAATAAACATACAATATTTTTGTGATTTATTATCATATATATGAAAAATACAATCACTTTTATTTTAATCAAATAAATAATTTACATTTTCTCTGTTTTTCATTTTACATTTAAAAGTTCGGCCCTCAAAAAAAAAAAGTAGAAAACTCTATGATAACAGTGTTTTAAATATCTATACATTTAGATTTAAAATAAAATAAAATAAAATCTATATACTTATAATTTTGTCAAGATTGATCAACGTAACGACTTCATAGCATCAACGAAAGATTAAACTCCACAATTTAAACATAACAAGTGTCAAAATGTAGTAATGTAAAAACGAATATAATTTAGTTAGCAAAAAAATAGTAATAATACCTATATTTTATTAATATATATGGTATAATTGATAATTCATTAGTAAATATAAAATATAACTTTTATCTATATATAAGCAAATTTATTAAATTATTGATATGTGTCCAAAACTGATTAATCGTGTAATGATGTCATAGCTGGATTGTTAGTGTGAAACATATCTAATTTTAGCTAATAACTGTTATAAGAGTGTTTAATATATTACAATATATATATATATATTAATCTATAAGATATGTCTAAATTTACCCAATTATTGCTATATGTCAAAATTTAACTAATTATTAATATATGTCAAAATTTGAACAACTGTAATTACATGTCATTGTCAATTTGTCATGTTGTTAAGATTTTCTTTTAACCTTTGAGTGAAACGTATCAAATGTTAGTTCCGTTATATATGTAAACAAAGAAATACCTTCACGGGAATTAAAAAATTCAAAAAAACCCCAGAAAAATACGAAATTGGGCCCCAACATTTGAATCTTGCGAAATTTACCCCCAAACTTCGTCTCTAGTCTTTGTCTCTTTCTGGCTTCGCCATTAAAAAGCCGTAGCAAAACCCTGACGCTTGCAATCCCCAATCCTAAACCCTAAAAATCTTAGCCGCCTCTTTGTTCTACTTGCGAAAGATGGCGAAGAAGAAAGTGTCCCGTAACTCCAACGGAGCTTCCAGTGAGCAACAAATGCAGAACCAGACAGCCCCGGTCACTTACCAGAAGTCCGCCGAGCTCAGCCGTCAGTCTTCAATGGAGGACCACGACTCGTCGGAGGAGAAGTTTCATAACCTGAAGTCTCTCAACGCGATTCTCCTCAAGCAAACCATGGAGAAGAGACAGCAGATCGAATCTCTCTTCCAGGCGAAAGATGCGTTGGAGGCCGAGTTATCTCGTTCCGGCACGGAGAAGACTCAGCTCCGGGACGAGTTGCGTGGTTCGGGTGACGAGAATTTCATGTTGAAGCTCGAAATGGATCTGTTTATGGGTATTGTTGAGAGCCGAGTCAATGAAATGGGTTCTGGAGTAGATGGGTTGGTTAAGGAGAAGAGTGATAGAGAGTGTGAGATTAGGGATTTGAAGAGAGAAGCTTATGATCTGATGTGTAAGCTAGAGACTGAGAGAGAGAAGTTGGGTAGGGTTTGTGATGAGAGGGATTCGATTAAGAGTGGGTTTGATTTGCAGCGTGAGGAATCGAATCGATTGAAGGAGAGTGTGGTTCGAATGGAGATGAAAGAAACGAGTTTGCGAGAGGAAGTTGGTAAATTGAATTCTGAAAATGATAGGATGGTGAAGGAGATGAGGAAGAGAGAGGAGCTGATTGAGAGGATTAACAAGGAGAGGACTAGCTTGGAGACGACCCTCGAGGAGAAGATTAGGGAAAAAGATGAGCTGAAGAGAGAAATCAAAGGGCTTGCTAAGGAGAAGATGGAGTTAGAGACGCTTAAACGTGATCAGAAGGGAGAAATTGTGAAGCTGGAGAAAAAACTGGAAAATTTGAGTGAGAGAGTGAAGAGAGTGACAAAGGAAGAGAAAGGTTTACGTGATCAGGTCATTGGGTTAGAGAAGAATCTTGATGAGGTTACGGAGAAAGCAAAAGCAAGGGCGGAGCAGATCAACGAACTGGTGAAAGAGAAATCTATCAAGGAATCTGAGCTCGAGGGTTTACTGGTGGAGAACAATTCGATCAAGAAACAGATGGAGATGGCTCTCGCGCAGTCTTCTGATAAGGAGACACTGGTCGACCAATTGTTGCGGGAGAAGAACGACCTTGTTGAGAGAATTTTTGACCAGGAAGCTGAGTTTGTTGAGATGAGTAAACTGGCGGAGGAGCGAAAGCATGTTGCAAAGCAGTTTGGAAAGGAATTTATTGATCAAACCAACACTATTGAGAAGCTTAGCTGCGACGTTAGCCAGCTTAAGGATGCTCTGGCACTGGTTGAGGCCGAGAGAGATAATGCTAGGAAGGCTCTTGATGAGGAGAAGAGAAACCGTGTGGCTCTTGAGGAAAAGGTTAGGGAATTAGAGAAAATGATTGAAACTACAGGTAAAGAGCTTGAGAAGGTTAAGGTTGAGCGAGGGAGATTGATCAAAGAGAAGAAGGAGCTGGAGAATCGTTCTGAGTCACTGAGAAAAGAAAAGAGTATCCTTCAAAAGGATATTGTGGAGCTCAAAAGAGATATGGGTGTTTTGAAAACAGAACTGGAAACCAAAGAAAACCGCGGTCTAACAATGCTAAAGAGTGTATCATCTCTAGTAGGTGGTTTAGAGAACAAAAAAGGCGAGCAGAAACGAGAGAAGGGAATGGATTCGTACTCGGTGGAGCTCGAAGCGATCAAGAAAGCGTTCAAGAATAAAGAAAGCATGGTTGAGGAAATGAAGAAGGAAGTAGAGAAAATGAAGCATTCGGTGGAAGATGCACACAAGAAGAAAGGCTTTTGGACCCTTGTGTCATCTGTTACTACTCTCCTTGCGGTTGCTTCTGCTGCTTATGCCGCTGCGATTAAGTGAAAACCTGAAGATGGTACTACCATTTTAACTCTCAGACAACATTACCGCATTTGAGTTTTCAGTTTTTCGCTGTTTTAACTTCTAAACCATTTATGCATCTTATGAGATTTTTACTCATAATTTACTATGATGTAAACCTTTTTCCTTTCGTATCTGTGATTCGCTACTATTCTCTCAGAACATGTAGTTGATTCCCAGAATGTCTAATAAACTTGTTTGTTTCATATTTAATTTTATATACTGTATATTGCAACTTTGGTATATAGCTGAGAAGACAACTTCCTTCAGGTACCATACATAGTTATTATGTTATATAAGCTTTCACGTTAAAACACAAACCCGTCGTTCACATTAACCCTTTTGTGTAATTTCATTGACAATTTGTGAATGTTGTTATTTTTGGTGTATATTGTATTGTAAATTGAGCTAGAAAAAGAGAACGACATATCTATATATTCTTAGTAATGTTTTCTTTTAAAAGATGATTGAAGCCTCTTACCAAACCAACATGTCTTTTTTTTTGGTTGGTTGCATTTCCACATCTGCTAATAGTTTAGGTGGAATCCATATATTTGTATATTATTACAAATCTAGCTTATTTGTATCTTTTGTTTCTTTTGGGTTTTGTGCAAAGATACGTCTCATAAAAAACAAAACCCTTTTATGCCTTTTTCATATGAGAAAAAATAACAATATATTATATATTCTTCGAGAAGTCAATTTTTTTTTCCTTGTGGTGGTCCAAATGCAATGCACTTTCATGCTCACGAGACAATTTGGTTTTACATATAAAAAGAACTAAAAGACTTACACATCAAATCTTATTTTTCTTTATTAATGATTACATTGCAATAACGCGGACGCCTACAATTGAGTGAGAAATAAATATTTAGTTTTGAATTTGAATGTATTTTATGTAGTTCAAAAATAGTGAAGTTTTTAAGTTTGCCCTCTCGAACTATCTCTTTATTTCTGAGACGTCAAAAGAAACTAATATATCTTTGAATTCTTCAACTAATAAATCCCAAAAAAAAAAAATATTATATTCACAGTGTTTCCATTTTCTTAACATGGACACAGCCCTGTCCACCGTGGTTTACACCCGTTAGTTAGTGAAGAGATTACAGTGAGGGATAAAGAGCGTTCTCATTGGCATTCTGCGTTTACAAACGCAGCTATCTCGTCCATAACGGTATGGAAGTGATTGTTATTAGGCAATAAGTAGAAACCAATAGTAGCTTGTTCCAAGTAAAGAAGCTTCACCTCTTGACCCGCTTCCTTAAGCCCTTCCACATACTTCAATTGCCAATCTTGAATCAAGTCTAGACCAGCTACAACGACAAGACTCTTGGGAAAACTCAAACCTTTTAAACTCTTGCTTTTGGGACCAAACGGGCTACACGCTGGATGCTCTCTGTCTTCTCCCTCGGGAAGAAACGCTCTCCAATACCAGTCCCGGTCTCTGACCGTCACAAAGTATTTCCCATCCAAACGTGTCTCAGATTCCGTTCTCTCTGTGCCTCCAAACATAGGGTTGAGCAAAATGTTCCCCAAAACATCAATCCCTGACTCGACCGCTCTCACCGCTACATTATGAGCTATGTTACCACCAGAGCTATCACCAGCCAAGAAAATATGAACCTTTGAGTCTTTCTTGCTTTTAAGCCAAGAACTCGAGTTGACCCAGTTCAGAGCAGCCCATCCATCATCATAAGCACAAGGGTATCGATTCTCTGGTGCACGGCGATAGTTCACAGAGACAACAACGGAATTGCACAAACCAACAAGCCTACGGCAAAGAGTATCGTAAATAGCACTGTTTGCAGAAGAATGCGCAAAGCTTCCACCATGGAAGAAGACGATAACAGGCACTATTTCACCATCAACGGGATTCTGAAGATCGGTAACACTTGGTGGGTCACCAGCATTAGCTGGTCTGTATACTCGGCTAAGGAGATTGGTTTGGCGATCGATGATGACATCAAATGAGAAGACCCCATTAACAGGATTGGCGTTTGCAGGGGCTTTCCGGTCTAGAAACTCTGCGAGGTGACGGTTAAATGTTCCATCAGGACGGCGCAGGAGATTGTAGGCTAGCTTAAAGTTGGATATCAAAACCCATGTATTGAGAGGAACCACTGTCTGCAGCAAACACACAACACCGACAAATAAATCACTACGAGTCTTTGAAACGGGATGATTCGTAACCAAAGCCATCAACAGACCATAAGGAGATAGCAAAAATAGAGGTTGTGTAAGATTTAAGAGATTTCTTCAAATAGGGAACAGTATACAAACCAACAAAACCTTACAAAAAAACACCTTCTTCAAATTCGATTAAAGCTCCAAAAGTCTCATTATCTAAGCAAACAATCACTAGAAGCTTTCGTAATTATCCAACTGACAACAAGCTGATTTGATATGGTTTCAACACTTGGCAGAGAAACTGTTCAGAAATGGAATAGCAAATTCAAGAGAGCAAAACAAATTCAAAGTGGGAATCACTTGGTTACATCTGAAAATTCGTTTACAGCAACAAAAAAAACTGATTTCCCCAGGATCAATAAAGTGTTAACAGTCCACAAGGGTCAATCAAAGATATAATCAGAGAGAACTAAAGCCAAATAAAGCCAAGAAGCTCCGAAATTAGAAAGACCCATCAACCAACCGACACGTTTCATCACCCCAAACGATAAAAGCCCTAAGCTTTGATAATTATATTAAAAAAAAAACATATATGCATCCAATCAAACACCAAAAAATCAAGGTTCGAGCTTGGAACACAACAGCACTACCATAACCGATAAGAACGAGCATCAACGAACGTATAGTCAAAACCCAAAATCGCAAGAGACACTATCGAACAATTCCAAGTTAAATCACAGATTGACACCAAAATAACCACAACAGAGGTTAAATTTGATCGGAAAACCAGAAACAGGAAATGAAAATAAAAAAAGGTCTCACCTTGCTCTCAATCAGGTTAACTTCATCGCTCCCAGCCATGGAAAAAATAAAAAAAATTCCCCTTTTTTTATTACCAATCAAACAGCACAGAGACACAAGAAGCACAGATCGAATTATCCCCTCACGATTTCAATCGATTCCGACAAGAAAGGATAAAAAAAAAAATCAGCCGAAAAGGGAAATCTCACATCACTAAACGAGTCTGGAAGAGTTTAAGTTTTTATCTGGAAATAGAAAGATACCTGCTTTTAAACTCGAGATCAAATGGTTTTAGCTGTATAATACGGAGTATAAGCACAAAGGGGGTTAATGTAAATTGAGCTAAGAGGTGGTGGATAAGAATACTAGCGTAGTTTAGCATGAGCGTCGCTACAGATTATAACCTACGCACGGGAAGGAGTAGCGACTCGCGAGTGTGTCGACTGTTGGGTGGGACTGAAGAAAATAAATAAATAAATTACACACTATCATAATTTTTCTCTTCAAATGCCAGTCTAAAAAGAAAAAGAAAAATGGAAGAAAACGACAAAAGACAAAATGAAGAAAATAAGAATAAGGTTGAGTGAGTGGTCTAACAGCCGCCCCCTCGAAGGCACGTGACGTTGGAACGGGATCCGTTCATTGACATTTTCCACGTCTAAATTACTACTCTGTCCCTGTCTTTGTTTTTTTTCTTTCTTTCTTCTTTTTTCGTTTATTGTATTTTTGTTGTCAATAGTCATTTAATTCATATTTTCTTCATTAGATACTAAATGTACTTTTCAATATTTAGAGATTCAATAAGGGATTGTTAGTATTATTATATTAATTTTTGTTTGATTTATGAAAAGTTAAAAAAAAATGGTCGAAAGAGAAAAAATGTCTGCGAAAGAAAGAAAAGTGGAGTGAATCAAACGCGTGTCAAATTTTTTTTTCTTTAACCAATTGGAAATTATCACCTGTCATAAACAATTCTTTAAGATTGATTCTAAAAATTTTTCTGCAAGGATGATTCATAAAATTTGGGTTTTTTTCTATTTTTTTTTAACTCAAAATATTTTAAAAAACCCATCACAAAACTTCAATGGACCTGGTCTTAGAAACTTCCGTGATTATGAAGGTTTCAGAATTCGGTAATCTGCCTAGAACTCGGAGTTTTACTACTTTTAAATCATCTCTGTCTTCTCAATTATAAGTATTATATATATAAAAATTTGTTATTGTTTGGACCCGGCTCCACGTCTTCACCATTCGAAGCTGTCAGTACTTTAAACATTGTAAACAATTGTTGTCATAGTTAACCACTGTATATATAATGTTGTTCATTGATAAGAAATTAAGGAGAGACAGATATAGTACATAATATTAGATGAAATGTACAGTGTTACTATATTAAAAATAGCACTGACAAATAACTAAACTAATTTCTCTCATTTGTATACTAAATATCTCTATTTCCAGGAAACCTGACGACCTCCAAGGGTCGGTGGCAGTGAGAAACCCCTTCACTAAAACAAAAGAATTATTAAACAAGACATAACCTTTTATACGTGAATCTATAAAGTAAGATTTATTCATTCATAGTCGTAGATGTTAAGAAATAAGAAGGTGAATACAACATAATTAAAGAAAAAAATGAAAGTTCTACTTATAAACCATTCCTCGACAAAAAGGGAAAATAAAAAAACTCACATAGCAGGGATGAATATAATATAGACTCAAGTTAGACCATTCATACATAACTCTTTTATTAAATAAATAGAAATTAATAAAAAAACTCATATTTTTATTAATAAAGATAAAGTATGCTGAGTCAATATCCATATGAGTCATGGTTCATTCGGACATTCATACATACATACAATAAGAGGGGATGAATCTTGAGATATAATATATTTTGGCATATGGATATATCCCTCACCTGCTTTTCTAGATATAATTTGTTACTAAAAATTATTTGCTGATATTTTTGCCTGTGAGGTCTGAACTACTTCTTTTTGAAATATGGAAATAGTATGATGGTTAGAATCATGTGTATATCAGGAGCAAAAAGTCATACTGTCTATGCATGTTGCTGTTGATAAAAAATGAAAGAGTTGTTGTGACTAAATTTCTACCGGGCTGCTAAATTTATTATGGCCCAATCAGAAATTGAAGTTTCTCATACGATGTCGTTTGAGGTAAAAAATATTTTTGTTGTTGTCAACACTAAAGAACAACTAAAAACCAATCTTCAAAATGATATAATCCGAACGTCAGAAAAAGCTCCCGCCAGACCTTAAAAA